TTATATATACAATACATATAGTGTTCATAGCCAGTCTTTATTAAGAATAGTTTTTTTTTTCTATTAAAGGATAATGGAATATTTCAACAAATGGTTCCAAAACTATCCTATAGAAAGAATCTCAACCCTTACCTCATACAATACATAGAAATAAATTAGAATTAGATTATAGATCTAAAAGCTAAAACTCTAAGATCTTAGAAACATGAATAAGTCTTTTTGACTGTTAGGCAAAGATTTCTTAGAACATAAAAAAGACCTATCCATAAAAGGCAAGTTTGATAAATTGGACTTCACCAAAAGTAGAATCGTTTGCTGCTCAAAAGACACCATTAGGAAAATGAAAGACAAGCTGCAGCATTTCCAATACATATAGTCTCACACAGGTCTTAGAAGAAGATAATTAAATGTGAGCGAAAGATTTGAGCACTTTGTCAAATGAAGTCATAATCTCTTGGGAAGCATGAGAGGCGTATGAAAACATGCTCTACATCAGGGACTGGAGAACTATTGCCCCGGGACCAAGTCTGGCCCATTGACTTTTTTTTTTTTTTTTTTAAGCGTAAACACATTCGTTTACTAACTTACAGGATAATGCTAATTAAACCAACACTCAGAAATATTGCATGAAAAATGTTTCTGATAAAGATAATTGAATACAGTAAAGAAAAAAAAGCAATGAGAGATTTGCTCATTGATGTGAGCTTGTTTATCTTTGCAGCTAATGCCTGTCCAAAAGGATGGTGGAATTTTTATTCAACTTTTTCATAGACTCGGGTACAGGTGACATTGTTCATGATTCGTTCCAACACTTATTTCCCATCTTCCAATTTTCTTATTATTGTACTTTCCCTCTCATCCCATTCCTGGTATTGAACCAATGCGTCGTAAAGTTGCAGGCAATATGAGTTTTTCTGCCATCAGCTGTAGTTTCTTTAAACTTCTTTTCCAGGTTACATGAAAATTTGTTTTCAGTGTGCTCTCCATTTTTATGGTGATTTTTTTTTTCCTGTCAAGTGATGACACAATCTGGTTTGGCCATGGCACTCATTTTTCACACAGCCTTTCCTTCTACTTCCCTCATGTACTCATCAAAGCTTTTGCTTTCCTCTAAGCGATATTTTTCTACCAGCTGCTGAATGGAGGCCATGGTGGGTGTGGAGGTGAGTACAGCGAACAGAACAGAGTGTGGCAAGGGCAACGTGGCCCCCTTAATTGTTTCTGTAAAAAAGTTTTATTCAAATGCAGTCACACCCATTCATTTATGTATCATCTATGGCTGCTCTCATGCAATAAGGGCACATCTGAGTAATTGTTAAAGAGACCATGTGGCCCACAAAGCCTAAAATATTTACTGTCTGCCTCTTTAAAGGAAAAGTTTGCCAATCCTTTGTCTAAAGGAATCAAATTCCAGGGAAGGTAAACTCTTCCTAGGTGAGCAGATAGCAGTAGAGAAGGTTGACCTAATTCAATGTATTTTTCCAGGATAGCCCTTATGTTTTGGGGGATTGTCATTTTCCACAACTGGATCGTCATTTTTGATTTTTTAATCATGGTGAATTCATAGTTATCAGTGAGCTAAAACTTATGTTAAAGGCAAAATTAATTTATATCAGTTCCTCTTTAAGTCTTGGTAACTTATGTAATATTAGAAAACTGTCTTATTCCGAAGAACTACACTTAAAGATCAAAACAGGGATGTAGGTTCATGATGACAAGAAGTACCAAGAGAAATTGTACTCAAAACAATTTGGTTTAAACAGCTTGTATTTATTTCCTTCAGCAAGTTAATTGGTGACTACAAACAAGCAAGAATGGGGATTGAAGGCATGTGCTGCTGTTCTGCAGACTGACTAGTCTCACTGCCTAGGTGGTCTCTAGTCACTGATGTCTTTGCCTTGATCTTCACTGGACGGAGGAGTCCCTCTCCTTATGGCCAGCATGTGGTGGTCTGTGATCCGTTAAACACATCAGAGAGATGCAGGGAGTCAGTGTTCTTAGTGGTCTGGCAGGACAGTCTTATATGCTAATTGGGAAGTCTAGACACTCTGGGTATGCCTCATTCTTATTTGTTGTTGCATCAGCTATGTTCTCATTGGTTGTACTCTAAATTATGTAAGCCATTGCATCATTGGTTATATAAGTTGTTTGCATAAGACTTGTTTTGACTTTAGGGTACAATAGGTATTAATCTCCTTTAAGTGAGATAGCCACATTGCTGATCTATAACATGTTTGCAGTGTTAATTATTTTTGAGAAAAATGTGTTTTCAAGCAAGAGAGCATTTTTGGTGGAAAAGCTTGTTTACTACTTTTAATTATAGCAAATGGATTTTATTCATGCCTATTAAAATGTAGGATAATGTATCCTTTATTGAAAATTTATTATTTTCAACTTCAGAAAGCCCCAGCATTATTTAGTTTACTTAAGTTTAATTCTTGTACTGATATTTTTCTATGTTAGTATAATTTAATGTAGTGTATGAGCATAAAAATGATTTTTGTAAATTTAATTTGAACATCAATATTTTTACAGTAGTACAATAACATGAACTCCATGAAATTTTTTTTCTTTATTTTATTTGACCATTAGTTAAATATCAGTTTGATAGCCAAGCAAAATTGCATGTCATAGGGAAATTTTCCAACTGGAACAAAATTTAATGAAAGTGTTTAAGATCATCTTTGATTTCCCCATGCTTACTACCATATCATACTTCTACAAGCCCTGTCAACTTTAAAGTGAACCTCGAACCCATCCTATCTTCATCTATCTCTTCTTTCATCTCCTTCTTCTTTCCCAGTGTAAGCCATTTTCGTCTTTTATGGAGTGTTTTAGTCAGAATAGGCTATGTTTAGAGTAACAAGTTAACCTCCTAATCTCAGTAGTTTACCTCAGCAAAGGTTTGCGATGGCTTACATAAATTCCAGTGTGGTTTGGTCTGTGATCCTCCTCCATCTTAAAGCTATGCTATCTGCACTAGTGGCTTTGAAGGTTGTCAGGTGGACTAGAAATGACAAGGTCACTTTTGCTTATAGCCCATTGGTCAGAACTAGTCACATGGCTCCAACCTAAGTGCATAGAAGGCTGGGAAATATAGGACAGCATGTGAAATATTTGGAGATCACAACTATCTGTGCCACACCCAGGTTATTATAGTTGCATCCTAATTGGTTTCCTGATTTCCTCTCATATCACACTTCAGTGCTTTCTCTACCTAGTAGCCAGAGTACTCAGAAAGATATTTTTGTTACTATCCTGCTGATAACTCCCTTTTTGCATAAAATCTAGCACTTTGCCATCACCAGTGCAACTACTGCATGATCTGGCCCTTGCCTTCCTCACTAATTTCACAATTGGCAGTTAGTGTTACAAGTATTATTTATTAATAGTGTGTATTTCGAATAGGCATTCTCTTTTATTTTGTCCATAGTTATAAAATCGTGATTTAAAAGAGTCAAATTTAAAACTTACAATAATGACTGTAAACTGAATAAATAATAATACCAAGAGAAGTCCTAATTTATATGAAGGTCTCCTCAATCACATTGTTGCAATTAGAATCTTTGAAAAAATAGCCTTTTGGGAACACTGATATAATGTAAAATCCTGTTATAATGGATAAATTCTATAAAGTTTGGTTACAATAATTATATTGTTTCTGACAATAAATGATCTTTTAGAATAAATGTTTTCTCTGGCTAACATATGGAAGATATTCTATTATGATTAAATGTGTTTTTAAAAAATTAATAAACTTTATTTTTTAGAGTAGTTTTAGGTTTATAGCAAAATTGAACAGAAAATACAGAGTTCACATATACCCCCCGTACCTACGCAAATATAACCTCCCCCACTATCACCATACTGCACCAGACTAGTGCATTTGTTTAAAATCTGTGAACCTACACTGATACATCATTATCACCCGAAGTCAATAGTTTACATTAGGGTTCTACTTTTGGTCTTATACATCCTAGGGGTTTTGACAATAAATGCAGTTTTTAGACAAATTTATCATAAAGTTTATGTTTTGACACTAACTAGTTATTGCCCTTCAGTTGTATCTTCAATCTCTGTCATGTTTTTCTTTGACAGTCTGAAGCTCCAAATTAATTATTGCAAACACATGCACGTGCGTGCGCGCACACGCACACAAGCATGCGCACACATACACACACACACACGAACGTTCCCTGAAATAATTGTTTTTTAGGTGGAGTGGTTGGAATATTTTCATAAAGTAATTAATTTGTAATCTTACATACTAGATTAGAGTAGCGCCCTTGCCAAAAGATAGAGCTGGGTAGGGTTCAACCCTTATTTTTAAATATGCTTGAAAAAGCCTTTATATAAATTATTGATCATCTCTGGCCTGTGAGTGCTGGGAATCAGGTTTTTAACAAGCCATTTATTTTAATAAACATGTCAAGATCTATGTATTTGGCATGCTTATTTGAAATGTAGCAGAGCAGTCATATTTCTGATAATTTTGACAGTTTCTTTAAATTGATTTCAAGTAATAGTGATTTCTGTTTTAGCAAATGGAACTTACATATAGTAAAATTGAGTAGTTACAGTTTGCTACATGGATTTAGATCTGGCACAGTTCAAATGACTTGTCTGATACTTGATGTCTGCTTGCATATAAAAGCCTCATGTAATAGTTTTTACAAGGTGTTAGTATTGTCATTCTTGTTTTCTTTTCTTTGCTGGCCCACTCCTATTTCAGCCCTTCAGCATCAATAAGGTATTAAGTAGCAAAAGAGATTATCCTACTGCTGGATAAGTAATACCAAAAAAACAGGTGTTTGTGGGAAAGATAAAATTAAATATGTTTATTTGATAAGAAGTTGATATGCCATTCTCGTATCATGTAATTAGATGTTTTGGAAAGGGAATTGGGATTGGATGACAGGAGTCAAGGAAGTTATTAAGCAGTCTCTGTGAAAACCTGATTGCCTTTGTGCTTTGACTAACAGTGTATGTCTTGTTCACAGTAACTGTAGTACTGAATGGAAGTGGCTTTTAGACAGAGCAAGAGTTGGCAGCCGATGGACGTGGCTTCAAGCCCAGATTTCAGAGCTAGAATACAAAATCCAGCAACTAACGGATGTTCATAGGCAGATTCGTGCCTCCAAGGTATTTTCTTATTTCTTAAAAAAATACTGTTTTAGTTTCTCCTTATTTCTCCACACAAAATAATTGTTACACTTTGCAAAAATGTAATGTTAAGATTTTTTTATATATTGATTGCTATAAATTGAAGCTATCTTTTTAATGCATTTGTAGTTATGATCATTTTATTACTTAAGCAATTCAGAACTGTTGGATTCTAGTTAATAGAAATGATACACAGTTTTTTGGTGTTAAACTACTTTGTTGGCATTTACTTTAACATATATAAGAAATTCTGAGTGTGTATCTTATTGGAATCTCCTTAGAGAGTTTTTGTTTATTTTGCTTTTTAAAAAATTATAAACAGTAAAAGTTCCAGAAAGCAATATGAACACCTGTGTACACACCCCCAAATTTATCAAATGTTAAATTTGCTAGTATAGGTTTAAGTTTCTAGAATAATAAAGCATTACTTGTACAAAGTACTTATGGCCTTTCCCA